CTTGATATAAGCATATCGGTACTGAAGTCCTGTCTACTGAGCTGTTGACTTATAGCCCACCGACATCGATATCAACACATGATCAACTTAGAAATGTAAAGATTGAAAACAACACTATAAATTGCATGTTTCCAAAGCGGTTTCTGTGGACAATCTTATCTGTCACAACCATTACAGCAACTGTCGGTGTAGTATGGGTAATTTCCGTCATCTTGTGTTGATAGGTTTAAGATGCTCATTGTCCTCTATGTTCTTAATTTTATTTTGTATTGCAATTAATGCACTATATAATATATAAAATAATATAACAGATTCGTATTTGTATTTATCTGGAAAAATTACCAATTGACGTATTAATTCTGAGTTTTTTGGGTCCTTTTCAGCCTACCAGATCGAAGTCTTTATTTATAATATTTCTTACCCATTGTATTGCTCTTCCTATGTTTATTTTTGTTCTTTATTATTTTATATTATATTGTAAAAAACGTTCAAATTTGCATATACTGAACTTTGTAAAAAGAAAGTTCATCAGATCCTGCTTTCATATAGTTTGAAAAGCGTTGGTGAAATATTTTAACTTGAGAAAGGAATTCATTCACATATTATTACAAATATTGAAAACTCCAAATAAAGCTTGAAAATAAAAATCTGAAACAATAATGTCTCTCGCCTGCAGAGTTGTGGCGCTTTTTATTCTTTATTTATTCATAAGTACTTCTCACGAAATTTGAGAACGGTTATTACATTTAATACTTGGGTGCATAAAAAACTAAAAATATTACACACGACCAAAATTACCCATATACTGCCGACTCACCAGTTTAATCCTGAAATAAATACATATTTATCATGTTTATGAAATCAACATTTTTGTTTATGAAAAAAGAATTTTAGGTATGCAAGTTCTGAGAAAGTGGACACAGCGCTTACGGCACAATAGGGATTAACAAGCAGCAATCTAGATCTTAGACTATAAACAGTAAAATAAATATGTGACTTTAAACAATTGTAAGCCATTTATCTAATACTCGGAAACATATTTTGATTTGTAAAAACGATATGTTTTATTATATTGAGGTGACTTATAAATCGATTTGAATCTATAGTACGTTTTGTCTTTAGTAGGAGTTTTTCAATTGCCCTCTTTCGTAAACAAATATTTTAAGAGGGTCATGTCTTTCCGTGTAGTTGTTCATTTTTTTCAATCCTCCACCAACCGTGACTATATTATCGTCATTTGTTTTCTTATATATTGACTGCAAATATAAGTAATGGTTATGGTGAAAACGAAAGTCTAAAAGGTTTTCAATAAAAGAAGAATAATATTTTGCTTTGCATTTTGAGATTGTTTATAGATCGTTTATGTAAAATATTCATCAGAGGTAAGATAAACTTTAACACATCATTTATCCATCAGACAGGATTGTTTTTTTTTTTGTTTTTTGTTTTTTTTTGTTTTTATTTAGTTTTTTGTGTTTCATATCACTATGATTACATCATACGGTTATATTATATAAATACTTTTATTACAAGTTTCTGATTGTTAAATTTCATACGGTAACCTATTGTTGCGTACGTCCTTTTCCGATGGTCTGGTAAATAGTTGTCACATTGGCACTCATACTACATCATTTTGTATATAGATAATTAGGTTCAAAAGGTTATTATTAATTGTATCTTAACGTGAAGTGGACACTGATAAAATGATTTTACTTTTTTGTCTTTGAGACATGTTTGTATTAATAGTCGTAAAATTATGAAAGACAGTTAAACTGTCGTATTAATGATACAGTTGAATGAAACAGACAAAGGGGTACAGAAGCTGCAATACACAACCGGAACGAGAATTTTTTTTTACGGCTTACATACAAATATTTAGAAAAAAGAAGTCGGTAGATACAAAGAGTGCAAAAATAACCAGGATTCGTAAAAGAGAAATTATAATGTAGCCAAAAAGACTTTCAACTGCGAAATATTTATTACCGTTTAGAAATTCATTGCAGACAATAAGGCACGCTTTCCAAACAAATAAATGTATTGTTGATGTGTATATGTATATTGCTTAATTGACTAAAAGCGAGTTATCTGAAGAGTACTGAATTTACCCCAGTCGATTTCTTAACATTTACTGAAAAACTGAGCAAAACGAACCCAACAAGAAACTGTGGGTGCTCTCAGGTGTTCAAAAAGGGTAAGCAGATCATGCTCAAGTACAGTTCATGCAAGCACAAATTAGGTGATGAGTTGCATTTGCTGGAGCTCACATTTTTGTCTCGATTTATTACCGTCGGTTTGAAAACAATACGACATTTAAATACGTCAATAGGTTTTTGGTTTTAATATTTCTGTAGGTTGTCTCAAGTCTATACAATAAACTGACTGGTCCTACAAATTGAATTGTTTAAAAAATGGAAGAAAAGAAATAAAGATAAATTTTCAGCATTTAGACATCCATTTCTATGAACCGTGATTTGATAATTTTGCACATGAAATTTTGATATATAAAACAATTATTAATTAATCCATATTGATTTATATATAAAAGCATGTGTTTTAGTTGTAATATCACGTTATCATGTTACGTCTCATCCGGTTTCATATAACAAAAAAAGGGTCGAACAAAAAATAATCACTTGAATTTTACAGTTGTAAGAAATTAAACCTTCATTTCATTGCAGTACATAATTTCTTAGTCATAAACATATATCTTGGGTGTTTCAAGGCACAATTCCTTTTTTATTTGGTGTTTCTACAGAATATTTTGGAAACGTGAGGCTTAGTACATGGTTACTAAATCTTGAATACAGGTGGAAAAGGGGGAACATTTGATTGGTTAACTTCCAGTGATCGTTATTTCTTATATGCAATGAAATGCATTAATAATATCCTCGAATTAAAAACCCCATCGAAATTAAACCTCCAAAGATTAATACTTTCACTAACTGGAAACCATTACAATGAATTCCTATGAAATAAAGATAAAAAGATATAACCAAGAAATGGCAACATTTAGTAAATTAATGTTTGTATCCATTGCATTGAATATCATACCAAGAAATGTTAAAGTTTCTGTTATTAATGTGCCATGATAGAATACTTAGTTGTTGGCGTCAATGTTTATCATTTTGATAAATGCCAATTTATTTTTTTATGTTTCATGGGGTGACGTTGTGCTTAGTTAACAATGGAAGAATGTTACAAGTGTTTTATGGAAAGGAAATCTACCGTTTGAAACCTTCATTTACTAAAAGGTAAGAAAAAACACAGAAATTTTTGGATAGTGTACTCGTTAGTCCTGAAATGACTTTATATGTACTTTACCCATTTATACAATGTTAACGTTAACCCAGAGGTGTATAAAAATGTATTTTAGGACAAGGCTAGAAAATGATACTAAGTATTGTTTGATCCATACATGTATCTGTTTGATCATTGTACCCTTTAAAATACGAATGAAAGTATTCTACATACAGATTGTTTCGACATTTTTGAGCCAAATAAGAAATGAATAATAACCTTTTTAGTAGGCTGCGTCGTTGGAGCTGGAATAGGTGGCGATGGTGGAGTAGGTGACGTAGGAGGAGTCTGAGTAGTTGTCGTTGAACCACATTGACATGCAACACCACAGAAAGATTTAATTGTCGTCTGACAATGGATGTTGCGCGTTGGCGGTCGTTTTAACTCGTACTTTGATGTCATCTGACAACAGACATCCTGCGTTGGCGGACGTTGTATCTCGTATTTTGATTTCGTCTGACAATGGACGTTGCGCGTTGGCGGTATTTGTATCTTGTACCTTGGGGTCATTTGACAACAGACGTCGCGCATTGGCGGTCGTTGTATCCCGTACTTTGATGTCATCTGACAACAGACATCCTGCGTTGGCGGAGGTTGTATCTCGTATTTTGATGTCGTCTGACAATAAACGTTGCGCGTTGGCGGTAGTTGTATCTTGTACCTTGGGGTCATTTGACAACAGACGTCGCGCATTGGCGGTCGTTGTATCCCGTATTTTGTTGTCATCTGACAATGGACGTCGCGCGTTGACACACGTCGAACTACATTATCTATCGGGTGTTTATATATTTCAGTTTTTGAAAAGTCTTTTCATCAGCATGATCAGTTGTCGGTGTTATCGTAACATACCCAAAAGGTTTTCTATCTCTAGAATTTCTTTATTTTTTCCTCACTAGAAAGCATATGTTCTTCGTCTATATAAATATTGCCTCGTCTGCCCTCGGGAGCATATTGAACACGTGAATCTTTAATTCTAGATGACCTCACATCATGCTTACATCGCATACGCTCGCCCATTTTATAAATATCCTAGGTGTAAATTGAACACATCAGGAAAAATATACACTGTCGGCTGTTTTAACACATCAGCATGTTATTGTCTCCTTCTGTTGTTTGTTCGTTTTTTGTAAAACGGTTTGTTTTTAGTTTTTTCCGCTCTCGATTTATTATATTCATGTATGTGCTGTGCTGTCAACTGCTCATCACAGTCCATGGAATCATAGAACACAAAATTACCTCGTAAAAAATCCAGCCGCAGTTTAGGAAATTAAAGCATTTTTCTTTTTATACAAATGTGTAGTTATAATTACTAAATATAGGTCCATCCGTCAATCAAAGGCCTATTTCCTAGTTACCAGGTTTGTTTGGCAAATATAAGGTTAAACTATACTGTCAATTTCTCTACGTCACACACTTGAACTCATGTAGATCAATATCTCATTAAAAAAACCTTTAGAAAAAGAAAGAAATTATGTTTTACATTTATTCTCCGTAGAACAATGGCCATATATAAACGATTATCAATAGCGCGTTAAGTCTATCCATATCGTTGATTCAATGTCAACCCTGGTATTATTAAATTTTTAGATTGAAATTTTATATTTGGTTGTCTAATTGCGTGCGGTGATTTTTCGATTTCGTCTATTAAAAGTTATTCGCAGAATTAAAAAAAAACAAAAAAACTTTTAAAGTAACAAAATTGCAAAAGTAATTAAGCTTTATTCAGAATACCAGCATATAATAAGTATTGGTACATTTTTGTTTAATCCAATACAAAATGGCATTGTAATCGAATTAATCAGAATTACAGTAAGGCTATTACATAATTAATAGATAGTAGTTAATTGCTTTAATGTACAATTGGACATTGTTGTACGGATGCATATTTTGAATCAAAATCAATGAAAAGCACCTACCTGGAAGATCAGAGTAATCGATTTCATTGTAATCAATGATGTTATCTCGTGTCGTCTTTAAAGACAAGCGTATCTACATTATGCTATCGTGGATTTCGTGGGTACAGGTGAACCACGAAATTAAATGTTCAACGAATAACAATGTTTTAATAGACTTGTGTGCAGACTTCGGCAAAACCACGACCTAAAATATTCACGAATATGCAAGTTTTCCTTAATCCACGAAAATTGATACCCACAAAACTAAATGAATCCACAGTACATTGTAAATAAAATATTTATGAATATGTGTGAAAATTATTAGTAAGATGTCAATACAGGCTGGTAGATTAAAAAAATGTATTAAGACATGTAAGATGATGCTAAAAAATGAATTTAAAATAAACCAGTTGATGAACTTTAGAGTCAAACAATGTTTCATATAACCACAAATGAATATCAAATAGGTAACCAACCACAAACTTTATTCTGGAACATTAAAGACAGAGACATTTTTAAGATTTGAAAATGATTTCGATGTATTCGGAAAGTAGTGTATCAGGATTTAATCATTTTCAAAATAAGGTGTGAGTAATTGTTTACATCCGAAATATATGAAGATTCGTCAAAAATCTTTATAACACTTCGACATTTAATGTTTTATCATTAATTGATACTTTATTGTTAAGTCCAAAATCAAGAGCTGTAAGTTTTCACTGTCACATTACAAACTATGTTATACAAAGATATAAAAAGGGTTTAATCTTTCTTCGAAACTCTTATTGTATACTACTAAAATTTTTTTACCATCATTTTTAAAGTTTTGGACTAAAGATTTCCAAGTACATCATGTACTTTTTTTATTTAGTGTTGTTATGAAGTAAGTTTCAAACTTAGACAAATGGATTCAAATATTTGATTTATGATATTTTGTGGGTTTTGTTACTAGTTTTTATTCAGCAGTTTGTGCGGGTGGGGGATAAGTTATATATATATACAACATGCATGTATCGTTTCAGGCCGATGGGATTTCTTATGGTCAAGTTACACCTTTTGATGAACCTAACATTTACCAAATGACGGGGTTTTAACAGTTGTAAATATGTCAGCATGAATAAATGAGCTAGCCAATCGTCTAATATGTCTTTATCATATTCAGGGAAAATTTGAAACACATTAATATTTATTGCACAAAAATGTACGCACTTGTAGATCTTTGCTTAATACAGATATAAAGTAACGTACCAATTTAGAATATATGTATATTGAACATAACAGGGAAACCTCCGGAACTGATCTGATATAATGTCAGATCCATATCTAACTTGTTTGCTACGTCGAAGTTATGAATATACTAATGATTTCTACATACTACCTAGTATTTCATATCAGGCTAAAGTGTCACAGGCCGGTGACCATATCAACAACAAAAAGTTACGAATAATCGATTTCGTACCTTGGAAAACTGTATTCACCATTTTTAGAGGGAATATAAATTTTAAAATCTGTAAATGTGGGGTTATTGGTATAATAAACATAATTTATATGATAAGTAAAAAATCGAAAATTTTCCCTTAACCTACATGTTTGTACAATAATCATTTCTCCCGAAATTAAAAATTAGGAAGGATAAAAAACAAAAAAATCACAACCTAAACTATATATGGCCAACTTAGAGTTTACACCTTAGTTTAAAAGAAACAACATTGTTATAAAATACATAATTGATATGAAAATAGCATGTTAAGTATGCTAGTCATGCAAAGGTATGAACCTTACACCATTGACAATAAAATAATATGTTACTTCATATAAATGTACGTCATTTATCTATAATCATACACAATGGTTTGATAAATAACGTTCTTTTTCTGTTCTGCCGATAAATTGGAGTTTTGTAATTGCTGTCTTTCGTGACAGAATCTCTCCGCAGGTCCATGTCTTTCCATAGAGCTGTTCCTTGTATTTATTTCTCCATCATCCGTGACTTTATCATATATATATACCCGTCTTTCTGAAATATTGACAATGTAAATATTAGTTACAATCTCATTGATTAAAGAGATAGTTTACAGTGTTTTCAATAAACTTGAAATATTATTTTTTTCTTTGCATTCTTAGATTAATTTTTAGTTATTCGAAACATATTCAATGCCTTTCCGCAAAAATACATACATTCTATTTAGACTTTACGTTGATGTGTATGGGTACCGATATGATTCAGGTAAATATATCAGTAAATAATTAGTGTTTACTAAATATATCCTGAAAAAAACTAAACCATTAATCTATAAAACTAATATATACCATACCTATAGGATTTTCCATAGGGCTGTTTCTGGTATTCAATTCTTCATCATCCGTGACTTTATCATATATATACCCGTCTTTCTAAAATATTGACAAAGTAAATATTAGTTACAATCTCATTGATAAAAGAGATAGTTTTCGGTGTTTTCATTAAACTTAAATCACATTTTTTACACTTTTCTTTGCATTCTTAACTTTGATTTTGAGTTAGTAAAATAAACACCATATGCATTAACCAAGTAAAAAGGATATATTTGTTATTTCTCTGGATTTTTGTTTTTGTATTTCACATCGGTAGTACTTTTAGCTTTTGTATTACATCATACAAGTCAAAATGTAAATATTCAAATTAAAAAAAACACACACACACACTTTAAAGTTTTAGTAGTACACAACATGGCAAACCAGATTTGATGAATGAGATACAAGGACTAGCTGAACTGTATCTCTTTTGTTGTTGTTGTCGGAAAACACGTCATATAAATGTCAAAAATATATAACTCGACGTTTGCGTATCCAAATACGAAAAACTGATAACGATCTTGAATGAAACAGGGTAAATTATTTTTAATTTCCGCACAATTATGTGTCCATCCTTTTTTACTCTACTAAAATGATTTTAGTGACCACCAATTTGTAGCTTGTTTTTGGCTGCAGCGTTTTTCGGTTTAAAACAGCTTCTTTACATTGCAGCTGTTTCAATTGCATTCTTAGATACTAATTTTGTCAAAGAAATGTATGGATGATTGAAAAATGTTTTTTTTAAGGTATATGTAAAGCCCTCGTCGACCTCCTACATAAATCGACTTCCTTTTTTTTAACATACATCATACAACGTTTGTAAAATATGTGTCAAAGTGATATTGTGCATACTGAAAACTTTCAAATTGACAAAATGAAACAGAAATCATGTTTCTGAATTTTGAAACTGTACGTCTCAAACAAATTCATTTATACTGGCAACAAATATGTAAGTTAATGATAGTCTATGTATTGACAACGACACAAGAAAAGGCACGAGAAAAAGATAATGCCTACATGTAGCGATGCAAATTTTGAATAAAATCTTATCAAACGTGTCAATGTCAAATACGAAATGATGGTTTGTAAAATAAACTTATAGGTGAAAAACTTTGCTTTTGGATATCTCTTAAATATATAAGTTACAGTAAGTAAGTGGGAAAAGAATATTAAATTAATAAAGTTATTTTCTAAAGAAAGAACAGAGATTATTCAAAATATTTGGTATATAATCGTGAAAGTAAGCCAGTTAGTAAAATGTAACAAGTGAATCAACTACTTGCAGAAATCAACAGAAAAACAAAACAAACCCAATCGCTTCGTTTTGAAAAAATCAACATTTGCTTAACCAAACACTTTTGCCTTAATATTCATACTATGTGTTTGTATTGCTATAAATTATTTGTTACATTTTAAATTCAGTTCATTGTTTTCTGTTTCTTCGAAAGTATTTAAATTTTCGATCCAGAGAAAAACATACGCACGATTATGTTGAAAACATTATATTTTAATGCAAAAAAGTTATGGTTGTTTCCTCGATTGTTTTACTGAATTTTCACGTTTGCGGCTACTGTTGATGATACACTGTTCATCGTTGAGGGATTGATAACGCCGTTGGCTTTTCTGGTTTTAATTGCACCTCATTCTATCATTCAAGACATTAATTGTTTTTGTTGATTTGCTCATCGTTAAAGGTAATACGATGACCTATATTTGCCTACGTATATGCCCGAGGGTCTGTAGGATAGTTGTCACATTGACCATCATACCACAGTGTCAAAAGATCATTGTCAATATATATCTTAACACGAACTAGAGACTACTTTTTGTCTTTTAGAAAGGTTTGCATTTCTGATCGTAAGAAGGACTTTTTAACTGTCTTATCAGTGCTACAATAAGTAGATATAAACACGAGCAGTAAAGAAGCAGCAATACACAACCGATACAATAGGAAAATTATTGCAACTAACAAACGATGATTAAGTAACTAAGTAGGCAGTAGATACAAAGAGTACAACAAGAAAAACAGACTCATGTAACACTGCGATGAATAAAGTACTGTTCAGAAAAATTGCAGAGAGTTAGGTAGGTATTTTCAGACAATTCGGTGTGTTGTTCATATTGAATGTTGATGTGCAAGGGTAAATAACAATAACTGAACAGTCTGAACATAGACTGGACAGATCTGAAATTACTGCAAGCAAAATATCTGAACAGTATTGAATTTACCGCAGTAGAGAAGTCTGAAAATTTACTGAAAGACTTAAATTGTCTTACTTACTTATAGTTCAGTTTATTAAGATCTGTTCAGATTAAAAGGGTTAACTTGTAATAACGAGCTGGCCTGATCTTCAAAACGGTACAATAAAAACTAAGAACTGATCCACTAGAAACCAAAAAGAAACCACGGGTGATTTCAGGTGCTCATGAAGGGTTAACACATCGTGCTCAACTAGTAGTTTATGGCATGCATAGAGTAGGTTATGAGATGCATTCGTTTATGCCACAATCGAGGAAACAGGAAAGGGTTTTGTGGTAGTTCGGACAAGTCCATGGCTATCTGTGACACAGCTATCTCATAAAGAATAGGATTAGTTTCTTTATATTCTATATCCGAAATGAATTAACTCGTTGTTTCATGATTTTATTTAAATGCTGTTTATTTTGTATCTTATTTTAATTTGTAATTTTAGGATTTTTCCGAAAAGGTTTCTTACCTTCAGCTGAGATATGATAGCAAGTCCAAATACTTCAATTGGTTTTGGCTGTAATGTGTCTGTAGGTTGTCTCAAATCTATATAATGAACGAACTGACGACTGTTTTTACGTGACTTCGGGTACAATGATTCGAAATCTTTATCGTAATAAATTATTACTTCAATGTTGTCGGATAATGGAGTCAGAGATCTCGGAGAAGGTGTGTCAGGATGAAGAAAGACTGGAATTTTCTTGTGTAATTTCTTTCTCTGTTTACGCTGTGGTTGTATTGTGTAATGTGTTGTCATCTGACAACGGACGTTGCGCGTTGACGGACGTCGCATTACATATTCTTGTTGGGAGTCTTTATAATCTTGTCTTTGAAATCCCCTTTCATCGAGTGATTCTTTTTTCGTTATATACCCAATAGGATGCTCATTACGCAAATGGCTTTTTTGATTAGGATGCGGTTTCAACACGTATTTTGTTCTCGTCTGACAACTGACATTGCGCGTAGGCCGATGTTGAACTTCATATTCCGATGAGTAGTCTACTTCCTCTATACAAACATTGTCTCGATTGCCCTCGGGAGAATATTGATTACGTGAAGCTCTAATTCTAGGTGACCTCAAAGCATGCCTAGATCGTGAACGCGAACGCTCGGCCATCTTAAGTGTATTTTTTTTATATCGAGAGAATATTCACTGTTGACTATTTATCCAAATGTTAATGGCTAATTATATTGTTTGTTCAAGGTTTTTTTATAACGTTTTTTTTTTATTTTCTTTTGCCCTCATTCAATCATAGTCATATGCGTTGCTGTGTTGTCTATACCTACTCGTCACAGTTTCTTGAAAATAAGAAAAACCTTCAAAAGACACAATAGAAAATCCAAAACATTTATCTTTCTATACACATTCGTAGTTATGATTACTGCATAAATGTCCATCAGTCGGTCAAAGGCGTATTCCCTAGTTACAAGCTTCGTACGGCTAATAGTAAGATTGTATATATACTGTCAATTTGTCTTCGTCACACTTTTGAAATGATGTGATTGAATACATCATTAAACACAACTTTATAAAACAAGAGCAGTCGGAAATTATTATTTACATATATTCATAAGAAAACGTCCAAAATATATACGAATATGAATAGCGCTTTAAGTCTAACGTTTATCGTTGAATCTATATATGTAACCCCTGGTTAGTATTCAACAAATTAAAATTTGATCTTTAGACAAAATTATTTAAATGCGTGCAGTGATCGTTCGAGTCCTATTTTAAAACAATAATCATTTTTTGAAATCTATATAATAAGGATTATTTTGAAATACCACAATGTATAGTATGTAATTAAAGACATATTCTTATTAACACAAAGTATACGGAATTAATAACTATAAAATACTATTATATTACATACAAAAGACATGGACAAAAAAAAAAAGATTTCGCAGAATTTAAAAAGAAAATTACTTTGCTTATTTTCTGATATAATCATAATTGCAAAAGTAATTACGTTTCTGCAAAATATCAGTAAATAATAAGTATCAATATATTTTATTTGTTGTAAAAACCGAAATGATTTTGTTATCTCATTAATTGGAATCACAAACTTAAATGACTAGGATTGCAGTTTTCTTACCTAAGGTCGGTAATTCTCTTTTTCTTTGCAAAAACAAAAATGCAAAAGTGTTAAACGGGACTATAAACAGCAATCCATCAATACAACTACTTCTTTTAATCATAATAATGTATAGATAAATAAGGATAAAATATATCTATCTGGTTATTTTGTTTATTTTAATGTTTTCTTACTCATTATTAATTTTTTCATGTAAGAAAGTAATTTTTTGTTATTGTATTTTGTCTATTCACTTCTACCGTTGCGACTTACAAGTCCATAGTGGTATCGAAATATTGTCACCTTCACTTTTTCCATCCGGTCAAATTTATTTTACTTCATTTATATTTGGTACTTTTTTTTTGTTCAAAAGTATAAAAAATAAAAAATAAAACATTTTCAAATATTTCAAAAAAGGGCTTTTTTCAACTATATGTGATTGACAATTATTAAACTAGAAATAGGAATTAGCAGGTAAAGTTCGTGATGTATCTTTTTTGATGAAACAAGAGGAGGCCGAATATCTGACATACGAGTCAAAAATAAAATCAGTGAACTTTATTGATATGCCATCTGGGCTTCCTTGGGTTAATTTCGATTTAACAACCAATCATTGCCATATATATTACGATTAGTTCTCAATGTTTCATATTTCAGACTTCTTCTACTCTTTTGTAATATAATTGGAAAATACAAGACCAGACCATATCATGTGTTATAATGACAACATGACAGTCATTAGGCTTATTAGGCTTACAAAAGTTCCACAAAACATGAAGACAACTATATCAGTCACAGTTTTTACAGTAACAATTTTTGAAGTGTTACCGATTTTTTTTCATAATTTGTTTTCTTGCCAGAGTTGATCTTTTTACGTCAATTGATTCAGCTACTATGTGATGCATTTTATATTTTAATTTGATTGACATACAGTTTTTAATTGCTAAAGATATTGATCAAAATCCGAGGTTCAATATAATTTAGCAGGTCCATATATAACGTATTGACTGAGTGAAAGTCCTTAATTTATATATAACATATAAAGATCATAGCGTAGGTTTGAAAACAAAAATACTGCCTCGATGTTACGTTTCTGGAAATGATATTGACAATATGTTACTATTTTTAGTAACATTGCCTCATAATTATTTCTAAATATAGTAACGTCGAGTCAATCTGTCAAAATAGTGCAAAAATACAAAATAAGTATTGGAAAACATATGACCAAATAAACCAATGAGAAACAAGAAAAATCAAATCATATGTAATATCCATTGATATTAGTAAAACGTAAACATAACAAGAAAGACTACAGCTAAATATATCATGCCAGTATTCGAGTTCAAAATTTTTATTTGAGTTTCAGCATTGAATTTTACGACTTGATGATAAAATATGAAGAAGAAAATGCAAAATCTAAGTATATTGTACATTTATTCATTTGTTTTTTATTTGCATCAGTTGTGTATTATCTTTTGTTTCCTTATTTTTCGGATTATATTTCGTGGCTGAACTTTATTTTCATAATGATGTTATGAGTTGTATATTAAAGTAAAACATTTGGTCGATTGATTATCAGTTGGTTTGTTTAACTTTTGATACAGATCGGAGACAATACACTCCTGGCATGTGTCTTAGGTTTATTTTGCTTTAGGGTTAATTTATACTTTGATATTTTATTCTGTCTTTATCATTTAATGTATAAGTTAGTTTCTGACATTGGATTTTTACTACTTGTTTTATGCAATGATCTATAGGCTCTATAGAAAGACTTGTTCATTTCCTTCTCTTAAATGTCCTCTTTTGACGCGTTGTCCAATTAAACCAAATGTGGTCAAATTAGTAGGACTAATGCATGAAAATTGTCTTCAAATAATTCACATTTTGGTTTTAATCGAATTAAAAATGGCCGGATATGACGATTTTAGTTTCTGTTTTGTCAAGTTACAAATTGTAATCATGTAGATCAGGTGAGATACATAACTTTGAATATTGTCTTTTGTTGATATTGTGTTTTTGGTGAAAACTCGAATTTGCATCTTTTGAATTTATCTAAATACTTGATTTCTAGCGGGTATTGAGAACGGGAATATTTCTAGCGACTATCCGAAAAATCGACAACTAATTATAAATTATCATCAATATTTTTACAAAGATAATTTAAGTGTTGTTTAAGATATTTTACAAAATTTGAGGGAAAAAATTGTGCTGAATTATTATTATCATAAACTATATCAAAAGTAATTTATTACCTTTCTGACACTATTATGACATCAGTTTTGAGTCAAAGAAACAAATAAAGAATGAACATTAGGTCTCTCAAAAAAATAAATTGGATTGAATAATGCTGATATAAGATGATTGGGATATCCATGAACATATGTTCAAACATTTTTATTTTTTTAAAACATCGATAATGCATAAAAAACACAATTGTCTTTATGAGTAGTACACCTTGACGTGTTTTTGGAAAATATACAAATCATATGGCCTGTTTCTTAATCTTAATGTAACCGTGAATCCAAAGGTATTCATTGTTTTGTTCTACAGGAATTCTTTTGAAATGTTAAATGCAAAATTATTATATGAATCAAAACGTTCTTAGATTGTTAAGTTGTTTAAATGATTATATAATTACACTTGTGTATTTTAACAATTTGTTTATACGTTTTATAACATGTATAAGTAACGCATGAAAGTTTAAAATGCAAAGCAACACTTCATTTAAAGTGAAAGGAATATGAATGAATAATGTTAGTAGAAAATGAAATAAAGGATCAATCAAATAAGCAGAATATTCTTGATTCATTTAAAGGTGAAAATATAACGAAAACAGAAAACAGTTTTTTTCAAATAGTTCGTTTCTATGCATGTTGGCGTGTGTTTTTGTTGCACTTCAGTGTTCCTGTTGTTTTCCTCTTACAGTTGATGTGTTTGCCTCGGTTTTAGTTTGTATCTCTCTCAACCGATTTATGACTTTTGACCACCGGTATACTACTGTTGTCTTTACAACGTTTGAAACTTATAAAAAAATCAAAGTCAACATATAAAGTTGGATTCTGATTCTCTTACGAATATTTTATCTCCTTAAACAAGATTGGAGATCTGTGTGTGTTTTTTAAATTGAAATATGGATAAAACACGCGTCACTTGTTTTAAGCCATTAAGATACGATATTATTACTGGTGTTAGAACATGTGGATTTTGTACAAACGTAGAAAAATGAGAACAACGCCTTATAAATGTCATTCGTCCAAAGCGCTTTGCTTGGTATACCTTCACCAGAAACTCTCACAGTCGAATCTTTAAAAGCCAATCATGAACAAAAAACGAAAAAAATGGAGAGCTATATGACCACAAAATGTCTAAAAATATTAACCAATTCCATCAGAGACAAATTTCCTGAGGGAGTTAAAGCCTTATTTTATTTACAACTTTTATTTGTAGCAACGAACAAATCTACAAAAATATTTGTTATTATCATGTTGGTACCGATGAAATAGATACTGAGATAATGATATTTCTGGGAATTGATAGTTCGTCAGCACCTATTTCAATCAAGTGATGTAAAAAATAACAAAACACTTTCTAAATTTCACGTGTCCAAAACGCACTTTTGTAGACAGTGTCGTATAGTCACAGTCAATAAAGCTACTGTCGGTGTAGTGTAAGTAGTTTCCGTCATCTTGTTTTGATTTATATCAGTTGCGTACTGTCCTCTATATTCCTAATTTAGATTTTTATCGCAATTGATGCAGTATATTTTCTCAAAAATATAAATAAAAAGTAAAATCACAAAGGAAGAATATCCAAGTATTTTCTCATAACGTTTGAATATCGTTGGTAAATTGATATACCTCGTGGAAAGAAGTCTCATTATTATTTCAAATATTGACAACTCACAACAAAGCTTGCTTATTAAAATCAGAACCTAAAATGACTCGACTGCAGAACTATGGTGTCTCATATGAACAGTGCTTTATTTAACAGATAATATTAACTTAAAACAAGCATTTCTTCCGAATGTGAATGACATTTTCTTGGAACGAACATAGCAAACAGATAACACCAATTAAAAATAAACCACATATGACCATCTCTAAGTTTTATTATCGCTATTTAACGAAATTTTCCTTTCAATTTACTGACTGATAATTTCCTTTCTCAGCACAGAAGATTGATATGAAACATTTTCGCTCGAAACTTAGGGCGCACTTGCCCGTTGAAATTAACAACGTCGTCATAGGTAAAAAAGCGATAAACAGATTATCATTGGTCATCTCAACTCGATTGCTTTTCTCACTTTCGCTGTGCCGGCTCAAGCGAGAAAATCAATCTCGTTGAGATCATCAACAATAATCTATAAATACAAGTGCATTGTTATAGAATACACATTTTCAATATAACAATATCATTCTAGGTATGCTAGATCTGAGACAGTGGACACAGCGCATATGGTACACTAGGGGTCTGATTCTTTGAATATTAACAATAACATAACATATATAAAGTAACTTTACACAAATGTACGCATTTATCTATTATCCTGAAAAACATTTTAATTTATAATTTACGATAAGCTCTACTATATCCAGGTGACTTATAATGGAATTGGAATCCATAGTACCCTTTTTTTTCCGGGTAAATTGGTGTTTTTCAATTGCTCTCTTTCGTTAACGAATGTCTTCACTGGTTCATGTCTTTCCGTAAAGTCGTCCATTGTATTCCATCCATCACGAACTGTGACTATATAATCGTAATCTTTTTTCTGAAATATTGAAAATGAAAAATCATTAGAAATCGTAATGGCGTCAATGATAAAAGTGTTTTCAATAAAACTAGAATAATATACATTTGACACTTTTCGTCTATGTAAAATATACAATAGAGACAAAGTCAGCTTTAAAAATCATTAATTTATCAAGAAGGATTTATTTAAATTTTTGTAGTTTGATTTTTAGTGTTTCATATACACCATAGGTTTTAGTTTTTGTATTACATTATCATGATTATATAAGCCATATTCATAAAGATTTGAATATAAAGCGAAAAAAAACCTTTTCAGTTTTAGCTGTCCCAATTATGTCATGTCAGATTGGATAAATTGGATGCAATGACTGTCAGAATCATGGCTTTTATTTTGTTGTTTATTGTTAAAGATAAATAACTGTGTTGTCTTTTCTCGTTAACATTGTTTAACATGTTATCGTTAAGGGCCTTTCATTACTTACTATACTGTAAATGATTTGCTCATTGTTGAATGTCGTACGATGACCTGTAGGTGCGTACGTCCACATCTGATGGTCGGGTAAATACAAATGTTGGTGTCATATTGCCAATCATACCACATTTAATTCGTATAAATATAATTAGGTTCAAGAGGTCACAATTCATATATCTTAACGAGACCTGGACACTGGTTACATGCTTTTACTTTTTGTTTTTGAGAAAAGTTAATATTACTGATCTTTAAAAGTAAGAAAGACATTTAACTGTCGTATTAGTGATGCATTTAAATGACACAGACATGAGGATTCTGGCAGCAGCAATACACAACCGAAACGAGTATTCCGACTTACATGACTGATATACAATACTTTAGAAAAAAGTAAGCAGTAGATAAAAAAAATAACCATGATTCGGAAAAACGAAATTAATTATATAGCCAAAAAGACTATCAAGAAAAATATAGTGCTTTTCGGAAAATTCGTTGCAGTCATAAGTACAATAAGTAACGTTTTTAAGTTAAGTTGATTTTACTTTTTGAGTAGCTTTTCAGACAACTCAGTATGTTGACCTTCCGAAGCACCTGAGATCACCCCCAGTTTTTGGTTGGGTTTGTGTTGCTTAGTCTTTAGTTTTCTGTGTTGTGTCTTGTGTACTATTGTTTGTCTGTCTTTTCCTTTTTTTAGCCATGGCGTTGTCAGATTATTTTCGATTAATGAGTTTGAATGTCCCTCTGGTATTTTTCGTTCCTCTTTTGACGTGTACAGGTAACAATCTGATAACAGACTGAACAAAGCTTAATTCGTTGTCAGTTTATTTTTAATCTATGGGTTTGACTGTCCCACTGGTATCTGTCACCCCTCTTTTAATTGTCTACAAACGAATTATCTGGACATTTCTGAATTTACCGGATTTAATAAGTCTTAACATTAACTGAAAGACTAAGATTGTCTTTAGTACTTATTGGTCAACCTTTTAAGATCCGTTCAGATCAAAATGACCGCTACAGATTAAATTGTTGTACCTGTGATAACGAGCTGACCTGATCTACAAAACGGTAGAATAAGAAATACGACTGATCAACAAGAACCCAACAAGAAACCGCGGTACTCGTAGGTGCTCTAGAAGGGTTAAACAGATCGTGCTCAACTAGCACTTGCTGATGCTACAATCGAGGTAATAGGACAGGACTTTTGCTTCATGTACGGCATTTGGAACATATCCGTAGTCATCTGTGACACAGATATCCCACAAAGGATAGTGGTGGTTTCTTTTCATTCTTATTAAGAATTAATTCTAGTTGTTGTTTCGTGATTCTGTTTGAATGCTGTTTTTATTATATCTGATGTTAAGAAGTAGTTTTTGGATTAGTCTTTTTTTTTCTTACCTTTTTTACCTTCGGTTTAGGTAAGATACGGGGTTCAATCTCAAATGGTTTTGGCTCAATTATTTCTACATGTTGTCTCAAATCTATATAATAAACGAACTGTTCCTACAATATGAATTAAATGTTGTTTTAAAAATGAAAAAAAAAGAAATAAAGTAGTATACTCAGCATAGACTTTGTGAACATCTATTTCTTTGAAATATGGTAGTTCTCCAATTTGACAATATTTAAAAAGTATTAAGCCATTGATTTATCATGTTTATATAGCAAAGCATGTGTTATATATATATATATATATGTAAAAAGTTTCATTTGTGTTTATATTTTGTATATTTAAGGATAAATATTATTCTCGAAATGAAAACCCCATTGAATATAACCTACATAGACTTATACTATCGCAAACTGGATACCACAACAACTAATCCCTATGAAAAACAGTTAAGAGACAAAACCACGAAATGTAACACTAAAACAAATAATGTTTCTTTTATATATCATCCATTGTCATTGCTTTGTAAATAATATCAATAAAAAGTTTCTATTTGTGAAGTGCCGTGAAAGAATACTCTGTTGTTCTCGTCTGCTAAGAGGTTAACTTGACCGAAATTGTCAGTCGACTTTATATTGACTTTATGGCCCTTGAATGATGATTTTGTTATCCAGTTTTGCCTATTGTCTCGAAAACTGCTATACAAATGAGGATAACCTGAAACCCGAAATAGTACCAATGACCAGCAAAATAAGATCCACAAATAAGCTACATTGGCTGAAATTTTCAGTCGACTCGTTAATGAATTAGTTGCCATTAACAGATAATTTAAAAAAAAAATGCATTGTTTGCAAGTAACTTTGAAAATTATATTAGATAAATAGGAAAATTATAAGGAAAAAGTATCAACAAAATAAGATCTATAACTGTATTAACATGACTGAAATAGTCAGTTGAACTTTAATAAAATTGTACCATTTAAATACTGATTTTACTAGAAAGTTGGCATCGTTTAAGTTGTAGGTAAATGACATAGCCTCTTTAGAGCCTCTAGTGTATACAAATCAGGCCTTCATTTTAGTTAAGCTTTCAACTGATTTTAATAGTTCGTTCTTAAGTTGTACTGTTACACCACTGTCCCAGGTTAGGGGGAGGGTTGGGATCCCGCTAACATATTAACCCTGCCACATTCTGTATGTATGTGCCTGTTTCAAGTAAGGAGCCTGTAAATCAGTGGTTGTCGTTTGTTGATGTGTTACATATTTGTTTTTCGTTCATTTTTTGCACATAAATAAGGCCGTTAGTTTTCTCGTTTAAATTGTTTAACATTTGTCATTTTGGGGTCTTTTTAGCTTACTATTCGGTATTGGGTTTTGCTTATTCTCGAAGGCCGTACGGTGACCTTTAGTTGTTTCATGAGTTCTACATGAATTGGTCTCCGGTGGAGAGTTGTCTCCTTGATAATCAAACGACGACTTATTTTTATATTTATCATTATGCACCCTATCTTGCGTGAAAATCGGATACCTAAGATATTTCAAAGTATCTAATTTTTTTTAATCTTAACAAAAACAAAATGTTCAGAGTATTGTAAATAAATGTAACAAACCATTTGCTTCAGTTGAAATAAAATTTTTATTAATTTTCTTAATTAAACCACTGTGTATTATGGCATAACAATTACAAAATTGAATAATTAAAATTATCACATTGTGTCTTTTTGTGCCGTATGAGGTACAATGTATGTTATCAGTCACAGTTTTGTAGTTTATTTTTACCATTCGTAATATTTATATTTATATTAAATGTAAACCTGGCATGCAATACTTGATAGCAGATGTAAAAGAAAGCACCTTTTGTCAAAGCGTTAACGAAGATTACATTTCAAGGATTTTACGTTATGACGATTTTGTCATTAATAAAACAAAAAGCGTTTTTAAATCTGAGGAGAGTTGTTCTACATTAATTAAATGAATTACAGTGTTTGTAAGAAATAACCATGTGGATACATCAAGTCAAATAATACTTCAAAGTGTATGCTATCAACATCATAATCTATGAAAATCCATAAAGGATATGTTTGTATGCAACCAACGAGTTGGACAAAAACCACATGCTGCACAGTAAAACTATTTTGAACAATGATTGAAATTGTTTTTCATAACATAGAATTTTACTCATTTATTATGTTGAACGGATTTTTTTAGCAAAAAGTAAAAACACAAACATACTAAACTCCGAGGATAATTCAAAACGGAAAGTCCCGAATCAAATGGCAAAATCCAAAGCACAGACACATCATACTAATGGACAACAACTGTCATATTCCTGACTTGGTACCGGTATTTTCTTATGTACAAAATGGTGGATTAAACCTGGTTTTATAGCTAGCAAAACCTCTCACTTGTATGACAGTCCCATCAAATTCCATTATATTGACAACGATGTGTGAACAAAACAATCAGTCGTAATAGGTATGTTTATTTTACCATAATGTACAAAAAAATGTATGCTTCTTTCGAAGGGAAATTGTGAGCTTAAATGAACGGTGACCCCATTTTTTTATTTTATTTTTAAAATATCGAAATCCTATATTTAAAAAAAAATGGATTTATACCTTCGAGCCCCCTCAATGAATTTTTTTTCCCTTTTTTTAAATCAAACAGACAATTAAAGTAATCTAAAATAGTTATATGCACCATAAGAATATGAAAATGTTTAAAGATATTACATTCAATGATAGTTGACATGCACAAACTATGAAAAATAAAATGGAAGTTATGGTGGCCGTTTCACAATGCATTAAAGGAACTACTTGCTTTTAAATTTATCGAATGCATAACAAAAATACAATTTAATGATACAATGATTTAAATAAGATTAACAACAAAACTTAATCATTGTTTTTAATAATCGTGCAATTAAGTGTTTACTCGTTAAAGTAAAACACATAATTAGTTGAACAAGTTGAACAACAGGACCCAAAAATGAAATATCAGCCCGAAAATATTGAATAGATTTATGTTATGCAAAGTCATTTGATTAAGGACAACTTTAGAAAATGAGAGTAAGTATTGTGTGATTTATATCTGTTTGATCATTTTCAGCTAAATAAGAAATAAACATTACCTCTTTAGTTGGTATTGTTGACGCTGGTGGTGGCGGTGGTGGAGGTGGCGGTGATCGAGGCTTTGATAGTAGTATCACATAATTTGTGGTCATCTGACAACCAACGTCGCACTTTGATGGCGGTGTCGATGGTGGTGGTGATGGTGGCGGTGTTGGGGTCTGAGGGACGTTTCGACTTGATAGTTGTATCTCGTACTTTGTGTTCATCTGACAACCGATGTCTCGCGGTGAATGACGTTCAACTACATATTCCTGTCGGGAGTCGACATATTTTAGTCTTTGAAAAGTCTTTTCATCAACTTCTTGTTTCATCGTAACATACCCAATAGGTCTCCTATCTCGAAAGCTTTTTCTAGTAACCGATTTAACATGTGTTTCTTCAGATTCTGACATTTTTCTATACACTTTCGTAGCTATGATAACCGAATCCGTCAGTAAAAGGCTAATTCCTTAGTAACAAGCTTTAAATAAGCAATTGTCTGTTTATCATATACTGTCACACGCAGCTAATCAGATTCATAGCAAAAGTGCAAACAGTCATTAATTATTATTTACATACATTCTTAGCAAAATCCCATATCACTTGTATACGAATAGGAATAGCGCTTTAATTCTAAAAGTTTATTGTTGAATCAATGTAACAGCTGGTTATAAAAAAATTATTTCTAAAATTGGATCCTTGTATTATATTGTTTAATTGCGTGGAGTTATTTTTTAAATGTAATTGTTTAGAATCATAACCGTTTCAGTTGATGGTTTTTATAATACTAGCCCTACTTTAAAACAATTAACTTCTTTAAAAATCTGCTTAATTAGGATATTGTTTTGATAAAATAATTTATATGTTATTAAATACACATGCATAATAATATACATTATATGCTATCATTTTCTAGAAACTGACTTCTATATGTAACTCCTTGATATGCAGAGGTTACTACGACTTTCTTGATTTATATATTGATCAACAAGTTTTTAGGAATGACTATCACTTTAGCACTCTCCTTTCAATGACTTTGTTGTATGCAGCTGCACTCTTTTACGGAAGGTATGATAGAAAACACAGTTTCACTCTTAAATATCGTAACAAATGTGATGTATATACTTCATATATAGGTGTTTTTTTAATAAATATATTTGTTACCAAAACACGCCGATTTGATGTTAAAAAATCACTTCCACCAAACGTTTCACACAAATTGTCATTTTATTAAAATAAATCATAAAACAGTTTTTTTTAACTCTATTTGAATCGCGATGACCGGACCTGATTTTACACACATGTATTTCAAGTCCGTAACCGTTACCTTACTGATAAGAACTTTGTACTATGAAAACAATAGATAATGGAAGTTTGCAAAATCTTTTTCATTTAAAAAATGAAAACCTTAAAAGAGTATAGAGATTTTTAAAAACAGAAAATGATCCGATGAAGGAAATTAAAAGGAAATGTTGCCTCAATGGTATATTTCCTGCACCGCCAGTGGCGAAGCAGGTCTTGTTATATTGCTGTTCCAGTCCGCCCGAAAGACCATTTGTACGAATCGGTCATCTAATTATCTTGACTTTTATGGAGGGGAATGATGTTGTATTTGGTCATCCTCTTGAGCTTTTTACAATCAGCGATGCAACCACTTCCTGACTGCCACTAGTTTGAAATTATTTAACACTCGCTGTACAAGAACATACTTGTTTTGGCTTTTATGGAAGGAGAAGGGTCAGTCGTGTTTCAGTTTACATGTTGCCTCATTCTATCGCAGGTCCAGACATAGTGCTGATCTTGTGAGCAAATATTAACAAAAAAGAGACGAAATAGACCAAAGGGACATTCAAACGTATAGTCAAAAATAAACTGATGACTGAAAATGAAAAGACTTCATTGGTATTTTTTTTCAGAATCAAAATTGGCTCTTCTAAAATAAATTGAACTAGTTTAAACTTTGGAATTGATTTCCCATAGAAATGTTTTCCAATGTCACCGGTAAATGTATTTTAATAGATTAACGGAGAGGAACTCTTAATTGGTAAAGTTAAAAACAAGAAGTATAAATCGATAAAAGCATATTAGGAAAAGTGGGATTATTACAGGGACACGGATTAACAAGATACAAGGTTATATAGATGGTCGTAAATGGAACCCGACGGGTAAGTTGAAGATACTTGAACATATCGAAAGTAGAAATCTCAGTTCAAATAATTCAAGACACATTGTTTTGGTTTCACATATTAGTTCTGATTGCATGGTAGATGGGATAAAAACGGATGTAAACATCCCTTATTTTTATTAACTATGTATTTGCATTGTATCACAGATAAAATTTATTCGTTCATTGTGTGTTAATTTGTGTTACTACGTTTTTTGATTGGGTTAAGCCTTCCAATTGATATTTTATAGTGTTTCTTTCTATGTTGTGATGTTATACTATTGTTTCAGAAAAGGGAGACGGTTTGGTACCATTTAAAAGTTTACTCCCACTGCAATTGTTTGCACCTGTCCTAAGTCAGGATCTGATGTTCAGTGGTTGTCGTCTATTTATGTGGTTCATAAGTGTTTCTCGTTTCTCGTTTTTATATAGATTAGACCGTTGGTTTTCCCGTTTGAATGGTTTTACACTAGTAATTTTTTGGGGCCCTTTATAGCTTGCTGTTCGGTGTGAGCCAAGGCTCCGTGTTGAAGGCCGTACCTGGACCTATAATGGTTTACCTTTATAAATTGTTACTTGGATGGAGAGTTGTTTCTTTGGCACTCATAGCACATCTTCCTATATCTATAGAACTGTTTAACCAGAACAAACAATTAAAATCCGTACGTACCAAACAAACAACACTGAATGAATTTGGGGTTGGTTTTAACTTAAAATAAATTAAATGAAAAATGGATGACAGCAACGAATATATACCATCTTACGAGAATTCTGTTGCCGATACAGATGCGTATTTACAAATGGAATTGTTGAAAACATATATAACATTATGATTGTTATCCAGCAGAAAGAAGAATTGAACTTTACCTTAAGATCATTTTATTTGATAAATCATACTATATAGATATTAGAAGTTGTGGTATGAGTGCTAATGAGACAACCCTCTAACCAAGTCTTAATAATTTACATTTTTTGTCAATGAGGAGAAACAAGAATAATACAAAAAAAAAAAAACACAAGAAAAATGAAAAGCTATTATTCTTGAAAACTTTAGAATGACCAATATTACGGATGAGGCGCACTTTGAGGCTGTTTATTACAGTAAAAAAATAATCGTTAAATGGAAGAAAAAATTAGAGGTGTTTAAACTGTTCTTAAGATAGAACGATTTCGATATAATTGTTTAATAGTTGGACTTTCAGAAACTTCGGAAAGGTTCTACAAACTCATCACAGATACCAGACTTATATATTGAATCACTACATAGCACCTTGAGGCTGTTTATTACAGTTTAAAAAAACAAAAATAATCATCAACTGGAAGAAAATAAGATAAAGCTGTTTAAACTGTTCTGAAGATAGAACGGTTAGTAGGATAGGAAACTGTTCCAGGAGGAAACCGTTTCTGCAAGAAAGGTTTTTGAACTTATCACAGATAACAGGCTTCTAATTTGAATCACTATATATATTTTGGCTACTTAAGACTCACTAATCATGGTAATGGCATTCGTATAAAAACACATTTAAAAGGCTTAATACATTATGATGTTAAAGAGTATTTTGAACCGAAAATTCCGAAAAATTCGCAGATACGTCTAATGCAATATATGCCTTAGTAGTTCAAACAGTTGCACATTTTATTAATAATAAGTTAATGAGAGTTAAGATATCATTTTTTTTTTTATGTCAAACCAAAAGATCTGGCTAAACTGTTGATACTTTCGGGTGCAAAACGTATACCAGCATGGCCATCTTAATGTCATAATTCATATTTTACGTTTGAACTTTATAGCCTTATAATGTTTATGAAAAATATCACTTTATGGGTTAAATTGAAATGACATTTTTGTTCAATTGTAATTATTTCATTTGAAAGAATCGAATTGTTTCTTTAGAAGATCATGTTCTCCATTTGCATTGCTCTTTCTATGTTAAGCTGTGGCCTAACTGTTATGTTTTATTGTATAAAATGTTTTAATTTGCTTTAAATGATAATTGTATTTCAGCAACATTATTAATATATCACAAGAAAGAACAACGAAGCCTGCTTACATATAGTTTGAAAATCTTTGATGAAATAAATTAATACCGAGAAAGGAATTTTATTTATTTATTTATTTTTTTTTTTAAATTTTTAACATATTTTATTAATAATTACCTGTTACATCAACCCTAAGTTGACTAGGAAAGCAACTAAGGGGGCCCCGATTTTTACAGGCTCAAAAAGGAATTTTAATTGACAAACTCGCATATCAAAATCGGGAACAGAAATGTCTCGCCTACCGACTTGTTGTTGCTCATGTGGTAAGTGCTAGGAAATTTGATAGATAACACAAATTACAATATGCATTTCTGCCGAAAGTTGAGAAGTGTTCGTTACATTAAATATGAAATACAATAATTACATGAAAACAGATCACACAAAAACAATATAAACCATATATGGCTAACTCAGAGTAGAACTCTAATACAAATACATATTTATAAAATAAACATTTTTGATATAAAAATAGCTTGATATGTTAGCTAGTTCTGAGACAGTGAACACAACGCTGATGGTACAACAGGGGACAAACAAGCAGCAAGCTGGATTTCAGACTGATAACAATAAAATAAATATGTCACTTAACACAACTGTACGTTATTTATCTAATATTTTGAAAAAAAACATTTTGATTTATAAAAACGATATGCTGACTTATATTGAGGGTACTTATAAATTGATTTAAATCCATAGTATTTTTTCCTATTTTCCGGTAAATCAGAGTTCCTTATATAAACGAATCCCTGCACAGGGTCATGTCTTTCCATATAATTGTCCATTGTATTCCATCCTCCACCAACCGTGACAATATCATCGTCAATTTTTTTCTGAAATAATGACTGAAAATATTAGCAGTCGTAATGGTGTCAAATATGAAAGCGATATCAAAATGGTTTTCAATAAAACAAGTATATACAAATAAAGTAGATGCGGTATAATTGACAATTAGATAACTATCCAACAAAACTCAAAAGAAGTGGATGTTAGCAATTATAGGCAATCAACGGGATGATAAGGAACAGACTGACTGTGAAAATAAAGAGGAATTTTCAGGTGTTACCTCCTTGTGATGTAGAACGTTGCTGATGTTACTTGCATCAATGCCTTTGTTGGTACACTAAACAGTGAGGAATAAACTCTTCAGCACTTCGGTGTTGACATGAATATCAATTATATGGTCATTTTTGTTTTTATAAATTTACTGTTTGTAAAAGAATGAATTATTCGAAATACGTAGAACTTTCTTATCCCAGGCTTAGATTACCTGAGGCGTATTTGGCACAACTTTTTGGAATTTTGGGTTCACAATGCTCTTCAACTACATACTTGTTTGGCTTTCTAACTATTTTGATCTGAGCGTCATTAATAAGTCTTATGTAGACGAAACGCGCGTCTGGAGTATCAAATTACAAGCCTGTCACCTGTGATAACTATTTACACCACTGGGTCGATGCCACTGCTGGTGGACCTTTCATCCGAAAGGGTATCACCAGCCTTGTAGTCAGCACTTCGGTGTTGATATGAATATTAATTATTAGGTCATTTTTTTTTTATAAATTTACTATTTGTAAAAGAATGAATTATTCGAAAAACTAAGGACTTTTTATCCCAGTCGTAGATTACTTTAGCCGTATTTGGCACATCTTTTTGGAGTTTTGGGTTCACCATGCTTTTCAACTTTATACTTGTTTGGCTTTCTAACTATTTTGATCTGAGCGTCACTGATGAGTCTTATGTAGACGAAACGCGCGTCTGGCGTATCAAATTATAACCCTGGTACCTTTGATTTCTATATTAATCATGTATAGTTTCGGATCTTACTGGTCTAAAATAAAAATAGCCACATTACAAATTATACCTACCAGTCTGTTAATGTATTAATATATCATTTGTCAAGTGCATAATTTAAAACATATATATAATCTCTCAAATATTATTGAAAAATAACAGGCAGTGACCAAAGAATAGTTCAACCGTGATGTTACCCTAGCAGATGATGATGATGTGAAAGAAGGTAACCAAAGCTCTCAGATGGTGATCTAGATTTGGAAGACTTTTTTACATTAAGCCGATGGTTATTTTTTTGCCAATCACTACGCTGGATTTCTAAGGTAATACTAAGTTCATTGCATTTACATCTCTGCAGGCTGGATGTTATCATTGTAACCCTATGGCATTACAGTACCTACTTCTTTATGCATTTTCTCTATCTTATCGGAAAGCAGTATTTGGCAATAAGTGTGGCGGTGATGCGTACTTTCATAAACAAAGAAGGACCTTGGTCAAGTTGATTAAAATGGTAATAAAAAGTCCTGAATTGCACATCTTTACTATAAGGCCGATGTTGATTCATCATTTTACGCAAACTTTGTTGAGTGATACTAACATAAAGTAGTCCACACAAGGTACATTCAATTATATAATTGACATTGTCCGTGGAACAGTCCAAAAGATTTAGTATAATCAGTTATCTTGTTAAGTTACTAGTGAAATCAGGAGTCGTGATTAACATTTTACATGTCTTATACCTGCTCCTTTTTCCTTTTTTATACTGACAAGAAGAAATGGTAGGAGTTTATTCACTTTGTAGCCGATCGAAAATATTAACGCTAAATGTTTTATAATTTTGAAAAGTATCTGAATGCTTTGCATTTACTGTTTGTCTTTGATAAATGATTGTATTTCTGGTTGAATCAAGTAGGAAAGAACTTTTAACTGTTGTATCAGTGATACATTTAAATAAAACAGGCAAGAGGAGTACGGACGCAGCACTACACAACCAGAACAAGAGAAAAAAATGAATACGACTATCATTCAATTATTTAGAAAAAAGTAGGCAGTAGATACAAAAGTACCAAAATAACCATGATTTGGAATAAAGTAAATAATAATACATGTATAGCCAAAAAGAATATCCGCTGCGAAAAATGTAGTACTGTTCAGAAAATTTGATTGCAGACAATTAACTACGTCTTTGGCAGTTTTTCGCACATTTCAGTATGTTGTTGATATGTTCAGATAAATAGCAACTACTGAACATGCGGAACACAGACTAAACAGATCTTAAATAACTGTGCTGAATTTACCGCAGATTTCTCTAAACACTTACTAAAAGACTAAATAGTTTTATTAAGATTTAATTCGTTTACTAGTATAACATGCCGCCCTGATCTACAAAACGGTAGTCAAAGAACAACGTCTAAGTAACACGAAAACCCCCTAAAAACCCGCGAGAGATTTAAGATGATCTGAAAGAGTAAGCAAACGTGATCAACTAGCAATGTTTATGCTAAGCACATATCAGGTGATGAGTTGCATTCGCGGATGCTACAATAAAGGAAACAGGATGAAATTGTAGCTTCATGATATGTACAACAGATGGAACATACTTTGTTATCTGACACACAGATGTCCTTGGGAGAATAGTGTTTCTTTTATTTTTATCTAGAAATTAATGTAGTCGATGTTTTTTTTATTTCATTTAAATTGGTTTTTTTTTAAATCTGGTTTTAATTTTTAATTATTGGATTTGTCTTTTTTTTTCTTACCTCCGTTTTAGGTACGATATTATCTTCACCATCGTCAAATGGTTCCGGCTCTAACGATTCTGAAGGTGACCCTGATGTTTCGGTAAGTTGCTCTGGTGTGTAAATAGTTGGCGACGAATCTATATATTTCTGGATTCCTTTTTTAGGTGATTTCGGGTACAATAATTTAAAATCGTTAGTAATTATTACTTTAATGTTTTCAGGTGATTTGTCTCGCGATGGCGGCAGCGTTGATGAAGTTGAAGTTCTAGAAGAAGGTATGTCAGGCGGAGGTACCACTACCTCTGGTTGAGTTTGAGTTTGTTCATTATGTCTTCTCTGTTTCGAATGCGATAGTATCACGTAATGTGTTGTCATCTGACAACAGACGTTGCGCGTTTCTGGACTTTGACTAACATATTCCTGTGGAAAGTGTATATATTCTTGTCTTCGAAAAGCTTTTTCATTTTCTGCTTGTTTTTTTGTAACACAACTTATATGATGCTCATTGCTTAATGGTTTTCTCTGTTTAGGCTGCGGTTGTATAACGTAATGTGTTTTCACTTGACAACGAACGTTGCGGGTTGACGGACGTTGCATTACATACTCTGGTAAAGCTTTTTCATCAGCAACTTGTTCTTTCATAACATACACAATAGGTTGCTTGTCTTGATAACTATTCCTGGTAACATATCTTACACTAGTTTCTTCAGATTCTGACCTTTTAACATACGTTTCCAGTTCTTCGGATCTTGGTCTTCTAACTTGTTCTTCATCTCCAAAAGTTTTTACTAGGTTTTCACTAAAATGTATATCTTCTGCATCTAAATAAACATTGCGTCTTCTTCCCTTAGGAGAATATTGAATACGTGGTGAATCTTTAATTCTAGATGACCTCACCTTTTGCTTAGATCTCGAACGCTCAGCCATTTTCTTATTATCCCTAAGTGTAAATAAAGTGAGAAAAATATGTCGATTATTTCAACACATCCAAATGATTTTGTTTCGTTTGTTCGCGTTTTGTTTTAACTGTTCGTTTATATTTGCTTTACTCTAACTTCATTATAGTCATGTATACTACTGTGCTGTCTATATCAGCTCATCACAGGCTTTTAAACCTTTTCACGAATAAAACTACCGAGTAAAAACAATAACCGCACGACAAATCTTCAGAAAAATAAAAAAACAGTAAGAACTTATTATTTACATATATTCTAAGGAATAAACGAATATAAATAGCTATTAAAGTCTACAAATTTATCGTTGAATCAATGAAGGTCATGGTTAGTTTTTTAAAATTTAAAATTGGATCTTTATATAAAATTGTTTAATCGTGTGCAGTGATCGATTGTGAAGGTTCTTCACTGTTTGAATTGATTTTAAACTGATAGCTTTTATAAAGCTCGTCCTACATGAAAGCAATTAACATTTGACAAACCTGTATAATAAGGAATATTTTGAAATACCACAATGTATATGTAGTTAAATGCATATTCATATAAACGTTACTTATTCATGCTATATTGAAGTATTTTCTAAAGAATGTTATTTCTATATAATTCTATAATATACTAAATATAAAAGGCTTGAACTATACAAAGTTTTCGCAGATGGGGATCTCAACCGCTTACAAGTTTTCAAAAAGAAGGGAGGGGGTGGGGGTAACCCCCGTGGACTCCTCCTATATTTCCTTTGATTTGTTGTATTGTCCCATACCAAAATATATGTGGTGTAGGGGTGGGGATCTCGACCGTTTACAAGTTTTCAAAAAGAAGGGGTTGGGGTGAGCCCAGGGACTCCCCTATATTTCCTTTGATTTGTTATCTTGTCCCATACATGAATATATGGTTTAGGGGTGGGGATCACGACAGTTTACAAGTTTTCAAAAAGAAGGGGGTGTGGTAACCCCTGTGTACTCTCCTATATTTCATTTGATTTGTTTTATTGTCCCATACAAGAATACCATCAAAAGATAGGTATATGTACATTTTTGTCCCAAACAAAATAATTTTGTAATATTATTAATAAGAATTACAGTGAGGCTTATATATAATTAACAACACTAGTAATAAACTGCTCTGATTTACAATTTTACATTCTTGTACATATGCATAGATTATTATGACAAAAGAACAAAAAAGATGAAACTCGATTGAATTCGTCAGCACATGCAGATTCGATAAAGCAGACACATTCTCAAGGCCAATAGTTTGTAGATCCAAAACAGTATTGATAGAGAACTCGTTCGAAAAAATACAAAACAATGGTATAGATGAGCAATTCCCGAAAGAGATTAATGATCGTTGCAAGGTACTATGGTTAAAAGAAAAGACAAACTAACGCCTTTTAAATGTGATAAAAATTTGATAAAGATGTCAAAGAATATTTCGCTTACGACAGAAAATGATCACGACATGTAGACAGATAACAACCCAGCAAACACTACAAAATAGAGATATGAGAAACAAGGAGCTTAACAGAAGCACTTTCCATGTAAAGGACCAAAAAGGAAGAACAATTGGGACAGTAAATAAGTGAACCGTGGAGGATCAACAGACATTTATGGTAAATTCAGATACTCAAACGAAACTGACGACCTTTCTAATGAACGATTAAATTTGGGCGTAGACTATATCAATATTCTATAAATGTTGAGTTTAAATGTATATGAAGTGACAACAACAATATGTTACACAGAATTGCATACATTGATCAACACTTTCGATATTATCATGATTATCTTTAAAACAAAACTAGATAACTTTATTTTTAATTATAAGGATAGATAAAAAATTATAAATCAGGTGGCATGGCTTCATGCGATAAAAGATTATCCGAAGATTGTTTTAAAAACTACAAATTTATACTGTATATAGAATCATTGAAAGAACCAATGTGTTATATAACTTTAAGGTAGGCATTCAGTATTCTACTTATTTATTATTTAAAAGAGATGTTTAAAACACATTTAAGATTGATTTGTACGGTTTTTTGTTATTCAGTGAACATCATTGCCTACACATATGCCCAAATGTGTACCTGGATGGGAGAAACATTATTAATATTTATTGTCTGAAAGTTTAAACAAAAGTGGTTACTATCTGTGCTTAACATGGGTTGATGTTTTTTGGTTCATTTACTTAGAGCCTCGTCAAGTATATTATCTTTGTCATCAGATATGATTTTATAGAGCCCCACAGTTGGCTTTCTTTGAAGTTATTGCTATCATACCGTCAACAACCTAAATCATTTAAATTAAGTCATTATCGTTTTCTATTTCATTCACTAGTCCCAATGCGAAAATGTGTAACTGTTGTCAAACTATGAACTTGTTATTCATGTGTGTATTTACCAGTACATACAAATTTTCATTATATTATTTAGACAATTAGCGGTCAATACATAGTCCTTAGCAAAAGACATATTGCAATGCACTTCGGCATGTAATCGCGTGGTTACCAGGTTTACTTCATATAGGGTTTGTAGGCGATGTTTATTTCAATACACGTTTGTAAAACGACACAGTGTTGAGGAAAAATCTGAAAGGTTTCATCAGGCAAAGAAATGGATGATGAACGATTGAAACAAATTCTTTAAACAAACTGAAGTTGTTATTGTTGGCATTTATTTTTTGTACAGACCAATGTAAGAATGTTCTATATATTGAAGACTAGATCACTTCAATAGGCCACAAGTCTTAATACCATTTTGGCCATGGCGTTGTCAGTTTGTTTTTGATCTATGAGTTTGACTGTCCCTCTGGTATTTTTCGTCCCTATTTTATCAAGATATTCGGTAAGATAAATTCGTTACACAGTGTGCTTGTGAACTTATAAAAATATATAATGCATTATTATATAGGTTCATATGTTCGTTATGAATTAGGTAAATTCAGCGGTTTATGTTGACACTTAGCTTTTATAAATTAAAATTCTGCAAGCCTTGCATAATCTAGTTAAGATCTTTCCTTAGACCTTCCTGTAGCATATGCTTAAGTAAAGAAAGCCAACAAATAATATTAACTAGTAGCAACCTATCAACCTATCACAGGACGACAAAGAGAAAACTCCAATAATCTAATTGAAATTTTTTATTTTTGCTTTTGAATTAATATAATCGAAAAAACATTATAAAGAATAAACACATCAAATGCTTTTAAAACAAAACGAATCAATTAAAAAAGGAGAAGTTCCAGTCTGCAAGAATTGAAAAATGTAAAGAAGACGACCTGCGTAGCAATAGTTGTAACATGTGTAATGAATAATACCATCTGCGAAATCAATCCTCCTGCGCCCAACTTCAATAATGACGGTTCACTAGCGACAGAAAAATAACGTTTAATCCAACCTCAGATGCATCGATTTACTTAATTTTTTATATAATCAAATTTTCTTGCTTTTTCAGTGCACATGAAGCAAATACACATTTTGTCTACTTTAACATCGTGGGATGAAAATTCATAGAAAACAGCAATTTCATTAAAATATTGATTACATAAGTAGTTTATTTTACGATGAAAGTAAAATTATATTTGTTTGCCTGCAACTATCGAGTAAATATTAATGCACCATTCTTTGTTGAGCTGACTGAATTATTACCTAAAGGGCATTAACTTCAACCATCATTGTTCAGATTTTATCAGTAAACACATATTACTTTTTTACAGTTTTGTCGTGTGTAAAGAAAGAAGTCTACGGTAAACAAAATAAGTTCTATTTTTGCGTGTTTACGTAGCTGACACAAGACACAAGGTTGAAAAATCATGTAGTCTTATAAAGAAATCATATTTCGTCTGGATTTTGCAACATTTCCTTTTACATAATTATCACAATTGTGCAAAATTTGAGACATACATAACGCGCGCACAGATGACAAATAAACAAATCGTCCCTCAAAAATATACCCATCAGCAAACGTAAATGGGGTATACAATATTGTTACCTACACCTCCCCTGTCCTTCAGTACATGTAATAGCAATAAGTATATTAAATTGAATGTGCGGAATGAATTAACTAGTTTCCGCTTAAAGACGTGAAAGAGTGCATGTTACATTGAATGCATCGTGCCGGAACAGTAACCTGCTCTCTGTAGTTTAAATTTGTTCACATATTGTTGTCAATATAATGGAATTGTATGCGACTGTCATACAAGTGAGAGGTTAAATTCGCGATAAAACCGGGTTTAATCCTACATTTCCAAAATAAAAAAAATAACTGTTCCCTGTCAGGAATAGAACAGTTATTATCAATTCGTTCGATGTGTTTTAACTTTTGGTTTTGCCATTGGATTAGGCACTATCCGTTTTGAATTTTCCTCGGAGTGCGATTTTTTGTTATTTTACTTTTTAGGTAAATGACCAAGGAATCAAACATTTGGAAGATCGTTTGTGGCTTGTGACAAGGCAACACGCATATTCTTGTTAACACAATCTTTTGAATTAAAGATTTTATATTTGTCAACCTTCATCAGGTTCAACCAGTAGACAACATGAACATTTTTTTGGCTGTGCAAAAGGAAGCAAACGGTATTAATGAGACATTCAAAATCTCTACCTTCTAAATTCTATCTCATACATTCTAATTATTCAGTTGTAGTTCAAATTTTCCGCACTGTTTCATTGTCATCCATCTTAAAAACTACTACCTTTGTATTAATTGTGAATTTATTATCGCCTTGAATATGCATAAAATGCCTTCCGCTGTACATTAATATAATTATTCATACGCAATGGTATATAAAAGAGGGACAAAAGATACCAGAGGGACAGTCAAACTCATAGATCGAAAACAAACTGACAACGCCATGGCCAAAAATAAAAAGACAAACAGACAAATAATAGTACAGATGATACAACATAGAAATCTAAAGACTAAGCAACACGAACCCCATCAAAAACTGGGAGTGATCTCATCGTTATATAAATGAAATG